TAGATGTTAAACGTGTTAATTAGGTCTAATAATAGCTGTACCATGTACCTATTATATTTATCTCCTAAACTAATATTTGTTAAACTTCTATCACTAATAAATTTACAAAAATCCAGGCATTTATAAACACACATTTGAGTTCAAAATATGTTACTCATACTATATCACCCGTAACATGCCTTTCTCTATTTTCGTTACGTTAACAGATACCATTACCGGTTAACTAACTTCATTAACGTATAACAGTTTAGTTTCCGCATATTACAATGGAGGTCAATACACCCTCTTCACTGATTGTACATTACAGATTTTGTCAATAATGAAGAGCTTTGGGGAACAGCAGTATCATATTACATAGCCAAAAGCAAAAGGTCGCCCCAGATCAGACCTTCAAAAAAAAACATTCCTTCCATTGCACCTCCTCCGAATAAGTTGTCTTCCTTCTAGATAGGAGTTTTACAGGTGGTGCGGTTGTGATCAGCACCCCCACATCTGGTACAAGTCCTCCTTCTCTTATACGCACCACTTTGCTGTCAAATTGTTTGGTAACGGTTAACGACAACAGTAAATGCAAACTCTTATCATAACATGTGCAAAGAAATAAAGAAATATTACCCTGAACTCCCCTGCTGATTGAATCCTTGTTTTCCTAGGTCTTCCAGCTGCCCTCCTTGTTGTCGGTGGCAAGAGGTTGATATTTTGTGACTCATTCGCGCTGCCCATGTTTATGTTCACCGGGTTGATGCTTCCTTCGTATGCTTTAACCCAGTTTAGGTTGCTGTATTCCTCAGCTAATAAAGTCTCCACTTTATGGTTTCTATTGACAGCAGCAGCGACAGCGTGGGCACACAGAATACAAAGTTTATCAAATTCCTTGCAAGAGCAAGTCCCTTTCAAGATCAACCCTATTGTAGACCCCCAAATTATCGCGAATCTCGAATTCCGTGTTGATTATATGACGGACAGTGGCACCTGAAGCAAAATTAAAGTTACGCGCTAACATAGCGGCTACCTTAGGAGTTACCTCGTTAACGTTGGAGTTAGCGGCCTCACGCCTGGTGGAAAACCACCCCATTAACATTGTCCTAATGTACTCCAAAAGAGCTACTATAGGATACCCTCTTGCTTTTGCCAGTGCAGCATTAAGTGACTCAGCTAGGTTGCTAGTCATGACATTGTACCTTTCACCCTCGAAATGTGCCCTACTTCAGTGCTCTAGTCCAACCCTAATAAGGTAGTCTGCGCAAGCAATGTCCACTGTCTTTATTTCATTGAAGTGGACATAGAAGTCCTCTAACTTGTATGTCCTAGCTGCTCGGCCAATGAAATAGAGTAAGTGTTTTTTCTTGAAAATAGTCTGGACATTCCTCTGGAGATGAAGAATACAAGCGCAGTGCTGTGCCATTGGATATACCTGCAGTTTCGTCGGACATTAAGTTTATCATTAATCCGCTAATATATTATTTAACCATCACCATGGAAATTAGCCGTTAATCTATCAAATAGCCGTTAACAACTAGGATACGATTACTCCATCAAATAGCTAAAAAAATATTAGAATAATACTCACCCTTCTTATTCCTGAGTAGATTGCACTGTGCCTATCCGATACAAACACTAGCGCCTCCGAATCAGGTACAATCTGAGAGAGCTTGCTGAAGAACCAAGTCCAAGCCTCATCATTCTCACTGTCTGCTACCCCAAATGCTATTGGAAATATCTGGTAGTTCCCGTCCTGAGCACTTGCAGTAAGAAGACACCCTGAATACTTGCCCTTAAGGTGTGTGCCATCAATGATAACAACCTTCCTCATGTAGCTGTACCCTTGGATGCTTGCGCCGTACGACAAGAAGACATATTTGAATCTCTGCGCACCTTCTGCTGCTGGGGTGGTTTCCAGTGCCACAACTGTTCCCGGGTTTGTTGCCCACACCATCTCGAGGTATGAAGGGAGTTTCTGGAATGATCGCGCATCATCCCCCGCACCTTCGCTAACAACTATGTCTCTCGATTTCCAGGCTTTCCAGTAATAAATAAGGACACTGTGGTCGTGTCTAATTATGTCCCTAATTGCTCCTGGTCTTGGTCCCCCTTTTGCAGTAGGTCCATACCTATGTTTTATCATTTCTCCCACAAACTTAGCATTTGCATGGTGGCGGAATTCCCATCTCTCCCCCAATGAGCAGGTATGAATCAGATTCAGTGTCCTTATCTCAAAGCTATCTGACCCTGTTATTTTCGCGGCATATACTCTCCAGCCACACGTTTCTCCTCTGCACTGGAGTAAAATTTTGCTGCCCTCTGATTTTTTCGTCAGAAATCGGAACTTGTTTGTTATGGCATAAAGTGTCATGTGGACATTGAATGCCTATTTGCTCTCGAAGACTTTGCCAATATATAGATGTCCCATTGACTCCATATCATCTCCTTTTAAGACAAAAACAACTATTAGTTAGCTATATTGTAATTGTCAGGACCATCAACATTAGAAAACCATATTTTTTGGTTTGAAATACCTTCATCTCCACCCGCTACTGCTCCTCGGTAAAGACCTTCTTGTGGTCCCGATGATTTATCTTTATTGTTCGAAGCTCCGGCAAAATCAGCTAAAAGGTTTCGGATCAGAGTCGAACCCTCACCCTCTCTGTTAAACATTTCATTAGCAACCAAGCCTAACGATAACTGTGTCGCTGACCCGGTACCTACACAGATTTACTTAACCGTTAACCTTCTCGGTAACGCCATATGTTCAAAAGCGCACATAAACATAACCAACTCTTCCTAACTTTTATTTACTTACACATACCATCCACACCCACTGAATCAACAGCAAGTCCTCCCATTCTGCTACGCTTACCAGCTGTTTCATCCTCAAGCATTATACCTTTACCCTTATCAACCATTACCTCCACTTGATCAGTTAGCGTTTTTGCTGAAACAACCATACACGAAATTGTTTTCAAAATTACTATTCTATCATAATAAAGCTATAACACAAGCTTGCTTAACTTACCTAACCCAACACCTACTTCTGTGTCTTGGCCTCCTAAGTTACCACCTTCTTCCACTGATGTTCCCCCTCCGGCTATTACTTCACAAGCTTGGGTTAGTGGTAGCTCAGAGGAGTCCTCAGATGACTCGATGTTGATAGGCGTTATTTCAGTTTGAGGATCCTCGTACCCTTCAAACCCCAATGAGGATTGCTCAAGTATCGCAACATCACTTGGGTTACATATGCTTCTTAGTAACTCTCCGTACACCACCATGTAACCCATAGCTCTTAGATCTGCGATCATTCAAAACATTATGACTTAACGGCTAACTATAGTGTTACCCCTTAAATAAAGTTTTGACCGTTAACATAATAATTATACCTGCAAGTCTAACCAGTTCCTCTCTAGCCACTGGGTGTTGCGCTGCAGTAACCCCATCTTCCTCAGCCCTCTGTGTCCTGTAACGGTCAACACCTTCTTCCCCAAATGTTACATACATCTCCAGCCACACATGGTCCACTCTTACAGCCATGAACAACTCCACATCCCCATCCTCTTTTATTTCAACAGGTGGGGGCGAGTATTCATCAGCCTCTCTAGATAAGTCAGGAAAATCATATGTAAGTAGCACCGGCTCAGTATCCCGTAGAAGATTTTGTAGATTGTATTTCTCTCTCACCATCCCCACGAGATTAACGTAGCTTTCGTTTTCCTTCATCAAGACATCGTGTTTCACAGCTGTATTGTCGACGTGAAACTTCCATGCATTTTGAGCACCTCTTTCCCACTCTCCCACAACAACTCGAACCAGATGACTCATCTCTCAAATCTGTACCTGTTAAAGACACTTTCAACCGTTAATAAAGATCTTCACATGTACTATTAAGAATACAATGATACCAAGGATCGTTTTTTATACCAAGCACCCCAAGTGACAACGATTTCTGTGTACCAATTCTTTGCTCTTCTAACCCTGAATCACAGCTTTCGTTCTCTCCCTTTCAGTACTACAAAGTTTGTTTCTCTTGTTAACAAAAGGTTTTGCACTCTATAAGGACTTTTATCTTCAAATTATCTTGGTATTTCATACAATCATCATTCTCGATGTCATATAGATTGTAGAGCCTAAACTAATAGCACGATTAACGGAGAGAACGAGTGGAGGGGAAGCCTTGTAGCTGTCAGGTTAGGTTGAGGAATAGTANCTTGTTAACAAAAGGTTTTGCACTCTATAAGGACTTTTATCTTCAAATTATCTTGGTATTTCATACAATCATCATTCTCGATGTCATATAGATTGTAGAGCCTAAACTAATAGCACGATTAACGGAGAGAACGAGTGGAGGGGAAGCCTTGTAGCTGTCAGGTTAGGTTGAGGAATAGTAACCTAGGACAACCTAGGACTCGGCGTGTAGAAAGTTGTGTCAGCGAGCTGACACAAGCGCCGAAGGTCAACTTGCGAGAGGAGGGGCTTTCTCGGCATTGCGGGTATGAATTGTATGCTTTGGGCCAATAATGTCACCTCATGTATATTTCGCTAATTTGGGCCTCGATTTTAGGCATCTCGCTAATTATCTCTATATAAAGCACCCGTTTACTGAGTTATATAGTGTTAACTATGAGTAATGACATGCCCAAACTCATGAATCGTGGCGGTGCATCATTTGGTAATGTTAATTTTATAAGTATTCGGGCCGATTGTATCAAGAAAGAGGCGTGAATAAAGACATAAGAAGAATGTAGTGATCACGTTAAGACTTACCTGTCCACCAATCTGTCACTCTCTATTTTACACAATTTATTTAATGTTATTATTCTTTTTTTTTTATATAATTCAATACACTCTCCTTCTCTCTCGCTTTCTCTTTGTTTCTCCTGTCTCTCTCTCTCAAAACACACACACACGATCCAATGACGACGAGCTACAACGTGACCGGATGTTTTGGAGACACGAGGCTGACCAAAGTGTTTGTAGGAGGATTAGCTTGGGACACTCAAAAAGAGGCAATGCATGATCATTTCATCAAGTATGGTGATATCTTGGAGGCAGTCATCATCTCCGACAAACTCACTCGCCGTTCCAAAGGCTACGGCTTCGTATGTTCCTTCTTCTCTCTTTTTTTCTTTTTTTGCTTCTTAATTTATCTCACTCTCATTTTCTTTGTTTCTTATTATTTTATTTTTTTGCTTATTTTAAGAAATGAAGTCAAGTTGTTTCTCTATATTTAAAAAAAAAACATTGTTTTTTTAGGTGACTTTCAAAGATGCGGAAGCTGCCAAGAGGGCTTGCGAAGACTCGACTCCGATCATCAATGGCCGCCGTGCCAACTGCAATCTTGCCTCCCTCGGTGGCCGCCATCGTAGATCCCCCACCACCATGCCCTCTCCTCAACAAGGTTCAGCTAATTAAAGCTTTTATTTGTCACGTTCTTTTGTTTAGTTTCTGTAAAATCATGGCTAGAATTCAAACTAATCGTCATAACATGTGCGAGAGTCGGGTAATATTGCCATTTAAGACATCAAGATTGATCAGTGATGGAAATAACAGTTAACATCAACTTTATTATATACACAACATGTAATCATACGGAAAAAGTTGCATACACATTGATACATTGGTTATAACGTCATATAGGAATTCTTATATGCGTAAAAATGTTAGGGGAATGTAGTAAGGTGGATGTGTATGATATCTATTGCTAAATTTTCAATTTTGGAATTAAAAAACAATTCAGTCACTAGTTTGGCAGAAAACCATGTTTTCATGTGTTATACCATAATGTCAAAAAAAAGTATGATCTAGGCAGGCCATTACAAGGATTGAATCTTGATATGAATGGAATAAAAACCATATTTGATGCCATTTGAACTTTGTAGAAACCTTATAATTCTTCAAAATTTAATTGATCTTAACATTACTATCAATATGATGTTTTGAGATGTGAAGGATCAAAGAATGTGAGTATGGCCACGTCAGGACATGTGGGAAATTATCAAGCTCAGTGTTACTACCCTGCGGGATTCACACACCAGCAGCATCAACTTCAACAACAACACCATCATCAAGCCATTCCATTCTATGGGTAAACTATTTATCTACTGTCTTTGATATTTTTTTTAATGTACATAGGTTTTTTAATTCCAATGTCCGTATATCCCAGAGGAAGAGGCTTAAATCATTTTAAAATATATAACAACTACAAAAATTAAACCTATAACCTCTTAATTTATTAAGTTTTTAAGAATTTTACCTAAATGAACAATCCATGTTAGTCTATGATCTTTTTCAAAATATACTTAAATTAACAAGGTATTTGATTAGTTGGGTTTGATACTAAATGATAGGCACCCTTCCTCCTACGTGGCCCCTAGCATGACTTTCAATCAAGTAAGTCTTATGATCTAAATGAAGTCGATCTTGAACGATGAATGTGCACATTTATAAAATAAGTTTGTTTATGATGTTATCTAATGAATAGAAAGTTGGTTACGTTGGCGGAGCCTATATGAACGGATATTACGCACAACCGCAACCTCAACCTCTGCCGCAACCGCAATATTACCACCAACATCACATGTATGGTGGAGGACGTGTAATGGTTGCAGCAAGCCCGGCCATGATGCCTCTCTACACTGTCTATCCTTATCATCAATCTCCAGCTATCGGTTTTCCCCAGCCTTCTTTTACGAAACACATTCCTACTCATCCTCCCATATCAGGTATTTTTGGTCATTTTATCCCAAACTTATAATGAAAATTAGTTTACTAAAATAGTATCCATAATGACATACATATGGCTTACTTTAAGTACTACTGCAGTTGTCATTTTTTAAGAAATTGGACAAACATGTAATCGCTTAAATATTTAACTATGTGCATATAATTATATTTATATAGCTGCATTACCATCTTAAATTAATAATTAAAACTGTAGGAACTTATATTTTGGTCATAAAGTACACAAATTCATTGGATTTGAGTTTTGTAGTCAGTATATGTGATATTTTTTTTTGTCTTGGAAGAACTAGTTTTACAAATCTCAAATGTTCATATGGTCTGTATAAATGAGAAAAAATGTTTCTTTTTTTATATATGTGGGTAACATACGTAGGCTCGTGCTTTGTTTGGTGATCAATGAATTAAATCTGTATAATACATTTTACTGTCAAAAATAGTATTCTAACATCATGTTTTTGCATATAAAATATAAAATGTTTCCATTCTTATCCATCAAGGCATATGTCTACCCATTTTTTTACTAACTTTACACAATATATCTGATTAGACATATACCCACACATGCATACACAAGTTGCTCACGTTATTTGATGTCAGTCATGGCCTGTACCCATGATGTGGAATCACATGGATCCACCATCCTCAGCTAGCTAGGCTCTGCTTTGTCACGTTATGCCTCGTTGTAGCACGTGTTTGTGTAATTTAGCTGGATCCTGATGCTTATGAATTCATAAATATCAAAAGGCCCCTTCCATGCAAGATCGTCGTGTGTCGGAAAATATATATAATAAACTGACATTATAAAGATTTGCTTTTGATTGTTTCCAAAAAAAAAGATTTGCTTTTGACTGTTGAATAGGTACAGTTGGAGGAGGAGCAGATAGCATAATGAAGAAGGCCTTAAGTTGATAGGCCACAACAAGCTGTTCATCAAACGATTCAGCCCAGAATTATTCATTTCTCTATCTCCCATGTATTATTATTTTATTATTTTACCATGTTGACATAAATCAATGTTTAGAAAATAATTCATATACATTTAATATTTTTTCATTTAAACTTGCTAATATTCTTTTGAAGTAGCTAAGGTCATTTTTAAGAACATGATTAACCCAGATTCTTAATTTATGATTTGACATTTTTTTAATTAAAAACTGATTTTTATATCTTTTATTTAAGAGATGGTTCTTAATTTTTTTTAGTTAAAAGCTAAAAAATAGTTTTAGCCAAAACTAAGAACTTTACCCAAAGAACGCGGATTAATCATAGTCTAAGATCTATTTATTCGTTGGACTAGCCTAGAACCGCCCCCATTTGTCTTCTCTTCACATTTCGTTGATTAAAGATAGTTATTAGAGTTTACAACCAATATTAAGAGTATCTACTAATCAATCGGGTTGGATAAAACTTAGGTATTATAGAGAACGAAGTTTTGCCATTCTTTTTAGTCTTTTTCTTAACCTTCAAAACACTTGTGGAAAAATATACACAAGTAATCTAGTGGTTTGAAATAGTATTCATGTTGTATCATCATCGATTTTAATCCATTGGAGAAATGTTGTTGTAAGAAACATAACTCAATCTCTACAATAATCTGACCAAAAACTCTCAATATAGTGTCAGTCTTTACACTATTAGGTCTCCATTGGTACAACAAATGATAAAACAGTAATAACATGATGTAGAAGCAATATGCTGCATAAGATTTATGCTTTCAATAAAGTTTTTGATACAATGTTTGACAAAACAATAATAGTATATAATTTTTAAATTATCATAATAGTTAGTATAATATATTTCTTTTAAAATATTATTTATGTATTTTATAATATATATTAAAATTATATTTATTTATTAAAAATAATGAATCTTATTCATTAAATAAATTATATTATAGTTTATATATGAAATATTATTATTTAAAAAATGTAAATCTTTTGTAAAATCATTTTTGTATTTAAACATATTTTAATATTGTTAAATAACTAAATAAATTATAATATATATATATATATATAAATTATTATTATTTGTAGAGCAGTAAATGATTCATATATAAAATTATCATAAAAATTAATATATGTTACATAATTTATTTTTTAGTGTCCAAATAATATATATATATATATATAATATATAAGTATATATTATGTTATGTTTGTTATTAAAAATAATGAACGATATGTGTAATTATATATATTATATTATATTTTAAATGTGACATATTGTTCTTTAAAAAATTAGAATATTTAATCATATTTTTATTCTTATTTTTAAAATAAAAATTATTTTTATTAGAAATATTTTTTTAATTAGTAAACAAAAATAAATTAATTATTTAGAATTATTTTTAAAATTTTATATATTATATCATAATTATTTTTAACTTTTATATATTCTATCTGTAAATGCTCTCCCAATTTTTTTATATGAGAGCATTGAGGGCTTGATTGGTTAAGCATTAGCATAAGCATTATGTTCTCTATTATCCAATCAACATTTACTTGAGAAGTATTTAAAAAACATTTACTAAATGTTAATGCTTTCCAAATGGTCTAGGCTCATTGTTCTCATATAGAGATTTTAGGAGATCATTTACAGTTAAAATATATCAAAATAAAAAAATAATTATATATAATTGATTTATTTTTAGTTAATAATATAAAAAATATTTTTATAGTAAAATAATAAATTTATTTTTAAATGAAAATTACAGTTACATATTTTCAACTTTTTATAAGAAAAATATTTTATAGATATATGATTTTTGATTTGTAATAACAAATAGATTATTAATATATATTATCTATGTGTTATTTTAAAATAAATATATTATATACTAAATTTTATGATAATTTTAAAATTTTATACTACTACTGTTTACCAATCACTTTATTATAAATTTTAATGAAAGCATACAACTTCTGTAGCATATAGTTTTTCTGCAGCATACTGCTTTTACAACATACTACTAATGTTTTATCATCTGATGTACTAATCGAGACCTGAGTAAAAAATATTTGGAGAGTTTAGCATATACTTTTTAAAAAAAAAATTAGTAAATTTTAATTGAATAATAAAGAACATAATGCTACTACCATACCCTAATAATCAGAAATAACGACCTTGGATAAAAAATGTAGAAAAACGACACCAGGTAAAAAGAAATTGATAAGTCAATCAAACCCAACTCGATCAATTATCAAAACCCGTAAGTTTTGATATAATAAGCCAATATGATCCATATGGTAATTTTCTTAATTAACTTTGATGTCAAAATACGATTTTATTATAAAATTCATATAACTACCCCATAAACGAAATAGGATGATTAATAAAAAATAGATTTCAAATTAGACAATGTAAAATACAATACAAATCAATAAAATAGTAAGATAATATATGTAAATATAATCCAATTAAAATAAATGAATATTTTAGATATGTATTTTTATATAAGTACAAACAAAACACTATATTATTTCTTTCTACTAAAATATAATTATCTCTATTTTCTTAATACTACAACATATACACTAAATAAGACTAAATATAATTTAAAAATCAAATTCTCTAAAATTTACTTATATGGTCAAATCAAATATTTTCATTTATGCAAAATATACTCTTAAATATAAATATCTATATAAGTAAACTTTCATAAATTAATAACTCTATAAATTAATAAAATATTATAGTCCAAAATTATTAGTTTTGCTATATTTTAATCCACGCTGGACATCTTATATATTAAAACAGAAATCATGACTTTTTTCATGTAAGATATTTTATTTTGGACTATCTCTTAGAAAATCATCACATTTCAGTATCCTATCATTTCATTTTTATAATAAATATAGTCACAAATGTTTCTTTTTAATATCTTAATAAACCAACAATATACTATCTTTAAGGATAATCTCACATTTATTTACCACTCTAAAATATAAAAAAATCTATACTCACGACCAATAAATTAAATATAATTAAATTTACCAACTGATTTATAAAAAAAATATTTTTACCTATTAATCTAATAATTATTATAATATATATAACTATTTTGTAGGCCATTAACTATTTTGTAGATACGTCTTTAACAAAAAAATCATATGTTATGCAATCATAATATATGATTATATATACATATGATCGTGTATATTATATTTTAGTATAATATTATGCAACCCTAACATCTGGTTAATGTTATTATTTTGATGATGTCAAAAAAGTATCATAATATGTGATTGTTATTTAATATTATTAACTTTTTATCAAATTATTATCATTCTAAAACATATAATAGAATATTTATAATCATATAATTAAATTAAATATATTTAATATTTTTCTCTAGAATGTTGGTCAAGCGTAAAATTTAAATTGAAAAATAATTTGACATATAAATAAATTGCAATTTATATAATAGAGAAAAAAAAAACATTTTTCTGTGGAACATATGTATTTACAAATATAGACGTACTAATATATATAATCAACTAAATAACATTATTTTCATTTTTTTACTTTTAATTTTGAATTTTTCAGGCAAATTAAAGAAAAAATTAATTTTCTATTTTCTCTAACCAAAAACATCATTAACTCGCCTAATTATAATTCGAAATAATTACACTAGAAGACACAAGTTGAGTTTCTAATATCACTAATAGACACATTATATATAGAGTACACTTTACCCTAACAAATGGACCAATATACCCTATACCTAAGAATGGTTTATCTTGTTTCTTCTTTCTCGAGAAGTTAACATCCTAACTAGCTATTCTTCATCCTAATCTGTAAATATCTTCACATTATTAGATCTAGAAAATAATTCTACACCATTTTCTCCTTCCGCTTATTTTTAAGCAAGAAATTGATCCATATCTGAAACCCAATCTTCTTGTTCTGATATTTTTCTCACAAATTCACCATCTTTTCCATCAATATTTCTCAAAATCATCTCTATCTCTACAACAATGGAATCTTTCACCACCTCTGTTGTTTTGACAACAAGCTCACATCGGAATCTACAGCCATCACAGGCTCCTCCTTCACCGTCGGAATCACCTTATCGCAGCCCATTTGATTGCGGATCGAAAACTCGGTTGAAGAACAGTTATGGGCGAATCGTTTTTTGCTCGAGGCATCCATGCACCACTGACCACAGCACTCTCGACCACAACAACACTCACCCTAACCATGATAGTCCCATCCACGACACACACGACCACCGCAACAATCGCACTAACCATGAGAGTTCCATCCACAACACACAGAAAAACCCTAATCCGACTACTAACCCTGGGAGTTTCATCCCCAGCTCTCATGTATCTTCCGAGAAGCTGCGGTGGATATGCTCGGTGGGGATGAACTCGTGATTTTCCATGGATAAGCTTGGGATCTGACGTGGAAGAGTTGTGGATCGGAGATCTCGTGGTCAGTGATTGCATTGAATTTTATGTCCACTATTTTCATATCCATCGATCTCATGTTCATCCATCTCATGCCCACCATTCTCTTACCAACCAGTCTCATATCTGCTTGTCTCTTGTGTATCAGTTCTTACATCTGAATTACAGATGTATGTGATGTAATTATTATCTATACGGTTTGTGAATGGGTTTATGTGGATAATAAACATTTCTCGTGTTCATAGTTTTCATTGATACGATGCAACATCATCTACGAAATCTCTTGTAAGATTAGAAAGGTTGTTCACGAGAATTCGTCCACGGAAATTCGTCCACAAATCAGCACATCTCCAAACCGCTAGATCTGCTTTCTTCAAAATGATCTGACGTTTACTATATGTTCTCATAAACCCATATGTCTAGCTTTTTGTTTTATTAGTTTATCATTTATTGTAACCGATTCCCTTTCGGTTTGTTTCCTCAAAAGTAAATATCCTTCTCTTTAGCAATAATCAGGGTCATTTTTGTCTCAATAAAAATAGCTAGCAGAAAAAAGTATGTCAAAGTTGCTTTGTGTCTTATAGAGTAAACAAAACTTACAATGTGTCTTTTTAAATAAGTCTCTCTTATAATTCAACAAATAAAAACGTTAACAGATAATAGAAAAATT